TGTCACCGCCTTCCATTATTTATATAAAATAAAGCCTTTGAAAAGAAGTCAGGCTATGGCTGAGGCAAAATCAACGTGCTCTCTGCCCTTACGATATATAGGATTTAAAATCCACAAGGGAAATAAAGTTCCTGTAGTTGGCTGTATACCATGAATCAAAAAATGTAAAAAATAGTTTATAAAAGGTATATAATTATTATACCGATAAGGTATTATAGGATATTGGGAGAGCATATGTCAAGTGGCAAACAGCTCAAATTGCTACCAACGTATTTAGGGTGACGGGGATATACACCCTTAAGAGTCATTTGTTCTTAGATACAACATTGAAGAGGCGAACAAAAATCCATCATCTTTTTGTATAAAACGGGAGATATCAGGCGAGCTATCGACATTTTCTGCAGCACATGCAGGCAAATCGTCAAGATCTTTGTGGTTGTCTTCACCACCATGTCGCATATCTCCAGAAATTAGCTCCTTGAACGCAACAAGTCCATTCGACATATGTACTGTCCTGAAAATAAAAAGGTGAACCTCAACTAAGGGGCTAGAAGCTTGTTAGTTTACACTTATTACTGCTTCGCCCTACAAGACACAACTAATTGAAATCCAAAAATGTAGAAGATAAAGAAGATCGGCGTGGTCAAGGTCAAAAATGCAGATGTGATCGCGGCTCCACACCAGGAATCTCTTCGGGAAAAGCAAACCAACTAGTAAAAAACAAACTTGATTTTAAGAAAGAAGATGATCATCTATATGGCAGTAGTGGAGAAGACGCGAGCATGTACAGCCTAAAGTCGGAAGTGATCGAAGTAATTCCAAGAATTGTAGAACCTAATGATGATGACGAGGAATGCATATTTTGCCTCGGAAAATTTTACAATGACACGAGAAACGAATTTTGGGTAAAGTGCGTCATGTGCAGTTGTGGGACCAACGCAAACTGCACAGGTGCTGAAAAAAACATATACATAGATATGTGACTTTTGTTGGTAGACGAATAATTTTCAAAATATTTACCAAATGTTTTATTTCATTTCTTTGATTTTGTTGAATTTGGTTCAATTAAAATATTATTTCTAACTTTAATTGTGTTTTATTTCGCCGTATGAACTTTTTGACTCATTTTCATTGCCTATTAGAATATTTTAAACGGATCGAATTAAGCACCAACTCTTGAAATGAAAAGTGTAATTTTTTTTATTTTTTTTTAATAAGAAAAGGATTTCAAACTCTTGAAAATATTACTTAAAGCCATGGACAACAAAATGAAGTACACATTGAATGTTCATATAGCATGCATTTCAGAGTGTATTTTAAGAAAATTAAAAACAAAATTGTGCTCCACTTTTGGGTATTTTCCTTTATGCATAAAAAAAATATGGAAAATTAGAACCTTAGTTATAGAACAGTAGCAAACATGAATTTCCATCGATGATTAGCGATTACAAGACACAAAGGAAGCAAACTGTAATTCCTCTCTCAACAACTTGTCCAGTAATACTTAAATATAATATTTTACCTTTTAACGTAAAGGATTCAATTTCACAATTTTATATAAGAAATACTTTCATCTAGTCTTTAACCTACTCATATTGACCTGTATAATTTGATTTTATAGTAACATTTGACATTTAATTTTACATAATACGTGTATCTGTGTCACCATAATATTATTCATAAACTAAATGTTATACTGTTAATTATAAATATTATTTAATAGAAATAAATTAAAAACTGTACATATTTTTAACAAATGTATAATAATATTGTGGCAGAGTAGGTGGCTTTATAAGTTTTGGGTTCTTCTCTTCTCTTCGTACTATGTCCATTAGTGAACTTTATTTTATTTTGTGAATGATGCATAACGAATTTTATGCACTGCAGCTCTGAATAGTGGTAACGAAAACTTATTACATCACTCACATAGTTTACGAAGCCATGATGTTTTTGGACCGGGACCGTCTTTTTACATATTTTGCCTGAATAATAAGATGGAGAAATCCATATCGTTCTAGGTGTCGCATGATGTGCACGAAATACTCTAATTTTCATATTTTTATAATTTCCACTACTTCCGCTTGCTTTTTAGACGTTGTAATCCTCTTCATTTGTAATTCTGTCAACTCAGCTTTTGCGTAGCAGTTTGTTTAATGCAGAGATTTAGTGAGCGTTAAGCTTTCAACACAATAATGCCGAGAAAATGTAAGATTGGACGAGTCTTATGTTCAGGTTATTATTAATAACCTGAATATTAAATTTAATATTCGTCCAAATAATACATTTTTCATTTTGAAGAACACTGCTCAGGCTTTTGCTCTCCGCACTGCTCGATGCGGATTTTTATCTCTTTGCTTATATCCCAATTATCTTTTATATTTGAACCGAGATAAGTTGATGTTCAATCTACCAATTTCAATACCATATTCTGTAATTATGTAGTCCTTCACCGATATTTCTTTGACTACCATATATTTAGTTTTTTACAATTAGTAAGTGCAGTTCTTCGGCAAAACTCGCAAGCAACACCGTATCATCCGCACATTTAAGATCAATGATTTTAATTCCACGAAACGTCATACCGACATCAATTCTGGCAATTGCCTATTTCAGAACATGCTCTTCTTCTTCATGTACTTTGGTCTTTTAGAGTGTTCGTTACCATTATAGCTATTTTAATCTTAGTTTGTTACCCTAAATAGCATGCTTGTAGCAATACCATACCAATCTCACAAATTTCAAGTTATTTCCAAGTTATAAATCTTCTCCATTCAAGAAACTTTTAAAATTCTTCTATAGAATTTTTTTAGACGTTTAGCCATTTTAGATCACTTTTATTCACAATCGAGGAATAGATAACATTAAGTAGGACTGAGAACACATAGCAGTGAAGTAGGCTGATACACAATGATAAGTTTTGGTCTCTGATACATAATACCCTGGTCATATGTTTGAAAGCTGCTCTGGCCTGCTCAAATCATCATGATTTTTTATAATTCTTTTAATTTATTTTGAATTAATTTAAGTAATTTTCAACAATTTTCCATTTTGCAGAAATAAATATTGAGGAGGAAGAGGTAAAGGAAGCATTAAGGAAATTAAAAAATAAAAAACAACTATTAAAACTAATTCAAAAAATAATGGAACAAAACAAAATTCCTCAAGAATGGAGATCAAGCATCCTAAAACCTCTCTTCAAAAAGGGAGATAAATCGGACCCGGAAAATTACAGAAGAATTAATTTATTAAACACAACACTAAAATTAGCAACCAAAATGATAACAAATAAATTGAATGAAATTATAACACTAGCAAAAGAACAACAAGGCTTTAGGTCGGGAAGATCATGCACCGACGCTATATTTATAATGAGGCAAGTGCAAGAGAAATCATAAGAATACAACAAATTGGCATATCTATGTTTCGTGGACCTTACAAAGGCATTTGACCGGGTCAAATTAAAAAAAGTTATCCACTTACTGTATGCAAGAGAGATACCTCTGGGAATAATCAAAACGATCGAAAATATCTACCAAAAACAACACAATAAAGGTAAAAGTAGAAGAAGAACTAATCGACCCTATTGAAGCTGGCAATGGCAATGACAACTTGCAACTATGCAGACGACGCAATACTACGGTCTCAAAGTGAAGATGATCTACAACGAATGCTGCACCAATTTAATATAACCGCCAGAAAATTTAACATGTTAATTTCCCCAACAAAGACAAAATGCATGATTACAACAGCAAATTTACTAAGATGTAAATTGGAGCTGGAAGGTCAGATAATAGAACAAGTGATGGAGTTTAAATTTCTAGGCATCACATTATCTAGCTACGGAAAGTTCGAAACCGAAGTGGAAGATCAAGTGAATAGAGCAAACAGAGCCGCAGGCTGCCTAAATGAAACAATATGGGGAAATAAAATATCGGGAAAGAAACGAAAGGCAAAATTTACAAGACAGTCATCAGACCAATAATAACATACGCGACAGAAACAAGACCTGATACAGAGAGGACAAAAAGGATGTTAGAAACAGAAGAGATGAAAACAATTAGAAAAATTGATGGTAAGACACTATGGGACAGAGCTAGAAGTACAGATATACGACATAGATGCAAGGTGAAAAACATCAAACACTGGGTAGGAAATAGAAGAGTAGAATGAAATAATCATATAAGCCGAATGACAACAAATAGAGTAGTAAAGAGTAGTAGGAAGACCACGAAAACGATGGAATGACAACTTACTGGAGGCACATTGAAAAACAGACGGAGTCATGTATATATAAAAAAAAGAAGAAGAAGAAGAGAAAGAACCTTGTGAAATGAGATCTTTATGACACGGATACATAGGATGATTAATATTTCTACACCTCTGAATCGGTATTTGCTCGCTAAAGTGTACCTCTTGTTCCAAGAGTATTACGGTAACCATATAAACCATATTAAGTATCACTAACTTCTCGTTCAATTCTAACATAAATTCTGTGGTGAAGTTTTGCGTTATTTCAGAAGCCAAGTATATCAGAAATTATATCAAATATTCAAAAGTCAATATACTCCTCAAGCGATATAGGAAAGACTATATGTTGAAAACTAAATCACTTTTTGTGAGTTTTATCTTATTTTTAAAAATCCATTCCAATATTTGTACTTTTGCCAATGCCGTTGTTGCAGCAAACTGGCAACAGTTGGCAATGGATAGAACTGACTGACGTAATAGACTTGGGAAGGTCGAGGCTCTTTTATAGGGCTCTAGCACCAATGATGATGAAAAATCATTACATCAAAGTATTGCGCGATTTAATTAAAAAGTACTTACTTCAAAGAGAATAAAACAAATACCTACGGTTTATGAAAGTTGGATTCTAAAACTATCATAAAATGAGACCAAATAATTGCAATAGCGCCACCTTGCTAACCGCAAAACTTTAAAAAAAGCTTTATATTATTTCTAAACTGAATATATTTATGTATAAGTCTAATCTGTTTTAGGTATGTGATTTGTTGCTCTCAGAATCCGAAATCCAGATGTTTCTTGAAGAGAAACATAAATTCGATTTATTAATATTAGACGGTGCATACCCAGAATGTGCGCTGGGTTTCGTTTATCATTTTAATGCACCGTTTATGTACATAAATACTGTAGGATTTTACACTGGATCCTTATCCCTTGCTGGAAATCCTGCTCCGTATGCCGTAACGCCATTCTTATCTCTAGCTTATACGGATAATATGAATCTATATCAGAGGACGGCAAATACAATGATGCATTTATTAGCGAATGGTGTTCACTCACTAATGGTAGGCTCTTTTTGTATTAACTACTTAACTAACCTAATTAACTACCTAATTTGGTTACGGTTCACACTTCCTAAGTGAGAGACCTCTCTTCCGGTAAGAGACAAATTCACTCATCCGAAACACCTGCAGTATCAAAAAGATTGAGCTCTGGTGGGACTCTTTCCGTATTATCGAGTCCTAGGTGAGTTGGTATGCTGAGTATCTCCCAAAAATCTTAGTACACTTTTGAACGACACGAGGAATACAGATTTCTGCTTGGCCTTATAGAGATGTTCATTTAGACCTAGCTGTTTTATGTTTTCTAGAAGGTTTTTGGGAATAACACCAGTAGTAGGTACTGTCTGGGTACTCTCCATATCTCCCGTTTTGTATTTCTAGATCTTTGCACTTGGCGATCTTTTCGTTGAATTTAACACGCAAATTATTGGTGTTGGGTATCGCCACATAATAATAATTGTTGTTTGCCTAATAAGTTTATTAACTAAGGAAGATGGTCGATTTGAAAAAGTTCAAGTTTGTCAGCTAGTTCTTGGTGGATAATCTTTCCTACTGAGTCATGGAGTTCTTAATAATCAGTACCGATAAACGCCTGGCAGTTCCCTACAAGATGTTGGATAATTTCTTGGGCTTGGAATCCATATAGAAATCCATTTGTCATTTTGGACTTGAGGATTTTTAAAAATATATTTTAGGTAATTTTTAGTTGGAATAACCTGATCCTGAATGGCAAGTAGGAAACCCTCAGTCTCGGAGAACATCTTTCCTGATAATAACCAATGGTTCGACGCTGTATTGTTGACATATTCTTGGCTGATCTCATTGAGATGTTGCCCACACAGAGGTGTACTTATCCAGGTGCGCATTTTTTCTTGCTTAGTCAGGTGGTTTTTTCCTCATTTATGTCCATAAGTCCTCTTTCTCCTGGATATCGCGGTAATGTTTTTCTCTCTACTGCACTGCGTGAATTATTTTTGCGGCTTTGTGAGACGTATTCTTACTTTCCGCTGAAGACTCTTTATATCCTTTTTTACTTTTTGACTACCTACTTTATAATACCAAATAAGTAGCTCAGCGCAAAACAAGCGTACTTATTTAATGACAAACAAATTTTTAATATTAAGAAATGGCCAATTTAATTGTCTTACTCTTTATACATTTGTACATCATCAATCATCGGAAGTTAGTTCGGTTTTCATTTGTATATATATATATATATATATATATATATATATATATATATATATATATATATATATAACAGATCTTTAATCCTTCTCGCATCCTAATTTCCAGCGTTTTCTGTCGAAGCAATCTTCAGTTGTTAGATCTCTGGCGGTCATTGCATCGTCGACATCATCTCTCCAGGATCGTCTTGGTCTACCTCGTTTTCTTCTAGTTGGCGGAGTCCATTCTTCTATTTTTTTTGGCCATCTATTTTCCGGCATTCTCTGAAGGTGTCCATACCAGTTAAGTCTTTTGGCTTCGATTGTGTCTATTATGTCAAGATCGATTTCCATTTCTCTCCGAATATCTTCGTTTCTCACCCTATCTAGTCTAGTGAGCTGGCAACATCGTCTCCAGTAGTTCATTTCCATGGCCTTAATTTTTGATTTGTTTCTTTGGTTTATTTCCCAGAGTTCGGCGCCATACAGTCCAATACTTTCTATTATTGTTTTATAAATTCTTCTTTTATTTTCTTTTGTTATTTTTTTATTCCATAATAGTCCGTGTAGCTGTCTGGTGGCTGATCTTGCTTGGCCAATCCTGGAATGTATTTCTTCGCTACTTCCTGCTTTTGATGTTATTTGGACTCCCAAGTACTTAAAATTGTCTGTTGGTTTTATAGCTCCCATTTCTATTTGTAGGCTTTCTGGTTGTTCTCCTACAACTAAGTACTCAGTTTTTTGTATATTAATTGTGAGGCCCCATTTGGTGTACTCATCTTCCAGTTTTCTAAGCATGTAGCTTATATCACTCTCGTCTTCAGCTAGAATGGCTTGGTCATCAGCGAAATGTATCGTGTACAATCGATCATCTCCGATTGGGATGTCCATATTGCAGCACTTTCTTCTCCACAGTGAGAGTGCCTCATTTAGATATATTTTGAAGAGTGTAGGTGCTATGCAGCAGCCTTGCTTTAGGCCCTTACTAATAGGAATTTCTCTAGTTAATCTATTTCCAGTTTTAATGTTTGCCGTCATATTTTTGTAGAGCTGTTGTACTGCTTGTATATTTTTTTTGCTTATTCCTTGTTTTTCCATTGCTACCCAAAGCATTGTAAGTGGTACACTATCGTATGCCTTTGTCAGATCTATAAAGACTATATGAGTTGAAAGGTTGTGGGCTAATCTTTTTTCGATAACTTGCTTTAGAGAGAATATACTGTCCATGCAGGATCTGCCTGCACGAAAGCCATTCTGTTCTTCTACATCTGTCATCTCTTTTTCAATTTTATTTTTTATTATTTTTCCATACAGTCTTGAGAGTGAATTTATGACACTTAGCCCCCTATAGTTTGAACAATTCTTTCTATCTCCTTTTTTGTATATGTTGTTAATATGTGCTTTTGTCCACTCCGGTGGTAAGTCGTGTCCATTATAGAATAAGGTGAAGACATACGCCAGTAATTCCCGTAATACTTGTGGGCTATGTTTTAATAATTCATTTGGTATACCTTGTGGTCCGCATGACTTCCCATTTTTTAGAGTTCGTATTGCATTCTCGACTTCCTGTACTGTTATTTCATCGTCTTCACTGAATTCCAGTTCATATGGTGTTGTACTGATGTTCGTGAATTGAGGTCTTGTTTCAGTTAAAAGTTGTGAGTAGTGTTCGATCCAAGATTTTTCTTCTATTAAATCTATTCTACTCGTTTTTTTTTCTGTTTGTTCTCAGATTTTTTACCGTTTTCCATGCTTCTCTTGATCTTGTTGACCCTATATATTTGTTGAGTTCGTCGCATTTACTTTCCCAGAAAATATTTTTTGCTTTAGTTACTAAGTTTTTTACTTCTCTGTTTAATCTTGCATATGTTCGTCTATCATCTGGATCATTTGTTTGCAGCCACTTTTGATATGCTTGTTTCTTGTTGTGTACTGCATTGGCGATGTCATTTGTCCACCACAATGGAGTATTCTTTTTGTTCTTTTGGATTGTGCCGAGCGCTTCGTAAGCTGCTTCATTGATTTTATTGATTATCTCTTTATAGGTATTCTGGGCTGAGGAGTAGATCAGGTTTGCCAATTTTAGGCTAAGTCGCAGCTTATATAAGAATGATGTCGAGTCGTTTTGCAGTGCATCAATATTGTATTTAGGTAGATTCGATTCCAGGGGTTTTGATTGAGCTAGTTGGTTGTCATTTTGATGTAGTAGCCGAGGTCGATACTGTAGGTAACATTTTGATCTTACCATATAGTGGTCAGTTCCGCACTCCGGTCCTCTTAGTACTCTTATGTCTTCAACTTGTATGTGTGTTTCTTGTTTTGTGATGACATAATCTATAATTGACTTTGTGTTTCTCGTTGGTTGAACCCAGGTGTACTTATGTATGTTTTTATGTTGGTAGAATCCGTTTAGGATTTTCAGAGAGTGCTGTTCACAGAATTCGATTAAGTGTTCCCCATTTTCATTTGTTTTAGCGTTACCATATTTTCCTACGACTTTGTCATTTATTTTTGTTCCTGTCCAAGCGTTAAAATCTCCCAACAGCACAATTTCTTTGCGGCTATTTATATTTTCAATGAGTTCCGATAAAGTTTCGTAGAATATTTGTTTAGCTGCTTTTGATGCATTTTCTGACGGAGCATATATTCCAATGATCTCGAGGTCGTGCCCTTTCCACGTAATAGATACTCTAATAATTCTCTCATTGATCTGCTCCCAGCTTTTCAGGTTTCCTTTTAAGTCTTTTTTAATCAATATTGATACCCCTGCTTGTGCTCTTTTGTCTTTCTCTACTCCACTATAAATATGTATAAAACCTTCTATGTCTTCACTACCTTGGCCTTTTTTCTTTGTTTCGGTAAGAACCGTGATATCTGATTTTATTTTCTTTACTTCTGCCATGACTTCGTCTGACTTGGTTCTCCACCCTTGGATATTCCATGTATTTATATTCAAAGTCCTTGTTCGTTTGCTACGTCGTTTTCGTTTTTTCCCGTCCATATTCCGAGGCTGGATTTTAGAATTTTTTGCAGTAAGTTTTTCACGGGTGTAGAGGAGCAGGCTCTACGTCCCAACCCCCTACCAGGAGGACCAGGATTTTCTGTTAGGGTTTACTCCCTTAGTCGAGAGAAGAGTAGTAGAGTGTAGTAGACAGAATTTTAGTGATTTAGTGGTTTTCATTTGTTTACGGTCAATTTTCCGCGCTTGCTTTACTCCGAGATATTTGTACATTTTCTCGATGTTTTGTCCATCTTGCATATCAAAATCTCCGGGCTGTACCTTACCTCTGACTATATTTAGTATGCAGCTGGTTGGAGATGACTGAGTCGATTATAAGTTGTTCTTTGCAGGCCATGGAACCCTTAGCACATCCTTTCTCTTGAGGCTTTATGATATTGTTTAGAGAATAGTGTTGGTAGATACTCTAGACTACACAGGTTGTGACCAAATTGTACAAAGTTGGAAGACAAGTAATTGGGCGGTAGTTGGCTGGATCTTGGGTGTTATTGTGATCCTTCGGTATTAGATAAGTGGTTCTATGAGTAAGAAATGATGGTATTTCCTGAGGATTAGAAAATTATAAATAACATGATTAATTAATCATTTTAAAAGCTCGTGTACACTCCAAAACTTCTTTAGCCAGAAGTTTAGATCTCCGTCTGGTCCAAGAAATTTCCAGTTATGAAGCTCTTTGATAATGTTCGAGAATTCTTTAGTGGTGAAAGGTTCATAGGGAATATTACTGTAGTGTTGACGATTGTTCGTCGTATATACTCGAAAAGTATACTGTCGTATTTCCGATTGTCCCTAACTAATATAAATATAAATGTAATAATTATATATTATTTCATTGCTCTTCAAAATAACATTTGAGATTAAAGTTATTTTTTAGGTTAGAATGTCACTTCAAAATATACTCAGCAAACATTTTGGACCTGACGTACCACAAATATATGAAATGTCCAAAAACGTAAGTTTTATTCTACAAAACGGTTACGCTACAATGTCATATCCTAGGTCTTATTTACCAAATGTTGCCGAAATTGCTTGCATACATTGCAAGAAATCGAAACCATTACCAGAAGTAAGTACTTAATCAAAATTAAAGTTTTATATTAAATCAACGTTCTTTTGTTCATAGCAACCAGTAAATACCATTCTTAAACCATTTTTTTTTTCAAACTTACAAATTTTAGTAAATACGTTATATCATTACTCATCTATTTTATCTAGTAGACATTCATCAATTAAGAAAATGTCTATTTTGTTATTAAATTACTTTTTATGAAGTAATTGCTTCTTTCTTTTTTCTTTCTATAGCAAAAAATGTCTCCACATACTCTCTGCCAATTTTTTTCTAAAAACCAAGTCGATGGTGAATATCTTTTTGATTAATAAATTGATGAGAGCTATGTGACAGTTACATATTGTCACACAGCTCTCACCCTGGTTTTTATTTTTACGTATGAATTCAGATCTTTTTTTACACACGATGTAATTTTTTTATGCATTCTTTTGGGGTATGATACATCCATGACAGACTGTATTCTGTCGAATAGAGAGTTACACCCCTCTCAATTCTTGGATGTAAGAGCACTAACATCAGCGCAAAAATAGGAAGCGATCATAAATTGGTATTGTGCAAAATCCAAAAGAAAACACATAAATATATTATTATATATATATATATATATATATATATATATATATATATATATATATATAGGATGACTCCAAAATATCATCATCATCTTGTTGTGCTACAGCCCTTGGAGGGCCTCGACCTTCTCAAGCTTTCTACGCCATTCTGTTCTGTCCCTTGCTTGCATTTTCCAGTTGCCGACACCGATCTTGTCCTCATCTTGTGTTACACCATCTCAGCTTTGGTCTACCACGTCTTCTTATTCCCACGGGTTGCGCTGTTAGAATCTTTTTTATCATGTTCGATTCAGAGGCCCATGTCCTGCCCACTGCAGGCGGTTTCGCTTAATTATAGTGGTAATATCTTTACAAACAAACGCCTCCATATTCCGTTCTCACAGACCGCTCCGAATATCTTACGTAGCACCTTTCTTTCAAAAATCGATAGAGCGGATTCATCTGTTTTAGTTATCTTCCATGCCTCTCATCCATATGTGAGAACGGGGACTATCAGTGTTCTATACAGCCTTATACGAGTTTTTTGAGACAGACGTTTGTTCGCTAAGCACTTTGATAGACCATGATAACACCTTTTTGCAATTATTATTCGCCTTTTTATTTCCTCAGATGTGTTATTATTGGGGTTAACCGATGTCCCTAGATATATGAATTCTTTAACTGCTTCGAAGTTTCGGTCATTGATGATTAAATTTGTGTCAACATTTCCAGCTCTTGTGCTTGTGTTAGTTGCCATGAATTTGGTTTTATTTTGATTTATATGTAACCCCATTCGTTTTGCTACTGCTACTAGCTCGGTTAGGATTCTGGTTTTTGTTATAATGTCAACGTCGTCTGCATATGCTAGAATTTGGACTGATCTATTAAATATTGTTCCCCTGCTATCTAAATTACCATCTCGTACAACTTTTTCTAAGGTGACATTAAAAAGCTGACACGCCAGCGCATCTCTCTGCCTTAACCACCTATGTATTTCAAATGGGGTTGACGAGTCGTTTTGAATTTTTACTGCTGATAGCATCTTCGCCATTGTCACTTTTATCAAACATATGAATTTTTTGGAATTCCTAACTCATTCATAGCGTTGTAAAGACTTGGTCTTAAGACACTGTTATATGCCGCTTTAAAATGGACAAAAATATGATACATATATATGTTAAACTCTTGCGCTTTTTCGAGGATCTGTCGTAGTGTAAAGATCTGGTTAATGGTTAAACGTGTACGCCTGAATCCTACCTGATATTCTCCTAAAAATGTTTCGGTACAAGGCTTCAATCTCTCGTGCGGAATGTTTGACAATATCTTGGATGCTGCATTTAGGAGAGTTATTCCGCGATATTATTATTGCATTACACAATATACATATTAAAAAAAAAATAACCAAAAAAAATTAAAACATATCACAGAAAGTGATAAAGTCGAAGAAAGATGAGCAAAAATTAAGTCTAATATCTTAGCCTTGACCAAGGAAGTTCTTAGTGAAAGAAATATAAGTCAAAATAAATCGTTCCCAAGGCAAAAAACTCCGTGGTTTTGTACAGAAGTGAATGAAAAATGTAAAGAAAAGAAAAAAGCTTACTCGAAATTCATGTCAACCAAAACACAAGAGGCATACCATAATAATTACAAGACAATTACAAAAGAAACACATGCACTTATAAGAAAAATATAAAATTAACACTGGAAACGCTTTTCGAAAGAAATGGTAGATGATTTTACGGTCTGCAAAAGAAAATATGAAACTTTATACGAGGTCAAAGAACGGAGATAAAGGAACTAATAGAACCAAAACACGTAGAACAGGATACGTGGATTGACCAACTAAAAAAGCTCTATGCAGGGAGAAAACGAACGACGCTAGAACCGGAAACATCAGAAATTACCACAAATGAAGAACTTAATATAAATGTGTCCGTAAAATACTTAAGAAGCTGAAGAACAGAAGAGCAGCAGGTAAAAACGGGATACCAAACGAATTTCTGAAATATTGTGGAGAAGCAATGACAGAACAATTAACAACAGTAATTAATAATAATATAAAACACAATTAAATGTAAAACTACCTTAAAACTTGCAAATAATATTTTACACGTACTAATAAATCAGAGGATAAATTTAGAACATGAAAAACAGGATTTTTGTAGTGGAATATCCTGTACATATGCAATATTCGTTATAAAGCAAATTACTACTACAAATCACTAGAGTATAATAGACCAGCATTTATGTGTCTGATTTACTTAAAAAAAGCGTTTGTCAGAGTAAGCCTCAAAGATGTAATCCATCTTTTGTATAATGGAGAAGTTTTTCTAAATATTATAAAAACACAGAATAGGAAACAAAGAAATATAAATACTCTGTTACACAGACGATGCAATATTGATAGCTCAAAATGAAGATAGTCTGCAAAGACTGGTCTACAGATTTAACATAAGAGCAAAAGAATTTAATATGATGATCTCATCTCAGAAAACTAAAACGATAGTAATCAGCAAGGAACCAAATAGAAATTGATGGCATCAGTATCAAACAAGTAATGGAAATAAAATATTTTGGAATTACACTGTCCAGCTATGGAGACCTAAACAAAGAAGTGAGATACCAAGTACAAAAAGCAAATAGACTGGCAGGATGTCCAATGACATATGCCTCAAAAATAAGACCCCACACAGCCATAACACAAAGGCTACTGGAAACGGCAGAGATAAGAGTGCTGAAAAGAATTACAGAAAATACGCTGAGAGATCGAAACAGAACTGAAGGTAGTAGAAGGAAATGTAACATACAGTGTATAAATGAATGGACAAAAAATAGAAAAAAAAGAATGTAATAACCATATAAGCAGAATGGAAGAGCCCAATGAGGGAGTTGCAGAGAAAGCAAAAAGATGGGACTAACAATGAATATAAATAAAACCAAATACATGGTGATCTCAAAAAACCCTGTTGACAACATACAACTGACATTGGATGGTAAACCCCTAGAGAGAGTTGACAAATATAAATACCTCGGAGCAATTATAAACTCACAGTTAGATCAAGAGCAGGACATAAATGTCAGAATAGAAATAGCTCGAAAAGTCAATGTTTACAAATAAGAAATTGAGTATGGCCATCAGATTGAGGTTCGGCGAATGTTATGTTTGGTCGCAACTACTATATGGTGTAGAAGCTTGTACTCTGAAAGTCCAATCTATAAAAAAATTGGAGGCATTCGAAATGTGGCTATATAGGCGTATTTTGAAGATTCTTTGGACTGCAAAAGTCTCAAATGTGGAAGTGTTAAGACGAGTTGGACATGGCAGAAAGCTGATGAGCACAATTAAAATAAGAAAAACATCATATCTGGGCCACATACTTCGAAACGATAAATACTCTTTGCTAAGTCATCATGCAAGGTAGAGTAGAGGGAAGAAAAGGCTTGGGAAGAAAGAAGAAATCTTGGCTGAGGAATATCAGAGATTGGACTTACCTCAGTGTTGAACAGATATTTCACGTTGCAAAAGATCGAGAAGCATTTAAAGAAGTGATCGCCAACCTTCGTTCGAAGACGGCACAAGAAGAAGAAGACGTTATAAAATTAAAATAACGGGACCACTGCTTCAATCTCTTATTATTACTCCTAGGTTTACCTAAGGTAGTTATGTTATTAAGCTTGTGGTGGATATAGCCCCTAGATATTTATTATTAATACTTAGTTTATTACTATGTATACTTATGTTTTCTTTCTTTGTAAATGTCTAAGTTGATTGTAATCATCCTAATGCTATCTTTTCTATTTCTGTAACAATATTAGATTTTATATTTGTAAATATCCCATTTTAGTCTTTTTTTACTTAATGGCATTTTTACCTTAATGAAAATAATGTTGTCGTGAATTTATGTAATTTTCGTATAGTTAATGATTTTTTGAATTTCTTTTATGACAGAAAACATTATGTTTCTGCCATAAAAGTAGATGACTTTCTGACTTTGCAGACAAAAAACAGATATTTTTATGCTTTTAGGTGCTTAATTGTTTACTCTCATTGGCTCTTAAATTACTTGTTTATGGATCGACCACATTTTCTTCTGTTCAATTCGCAATTGCCATTTCCATATACGTGTATCTGTTACCCATATCTGTGAGCTTCCTTCGTTTCTTCTATGTTTACATTTTGATATTCTCTGTGTTCCTATAAGGAATTATTTTTGTTTATTCACTTTTTTGTTAATTTGCCAACATTCTAAGTCATAATGTTGTAGGCACTCCTTCCTATGCCATCATACTCTAATCTAGACGCTGAACCACAAAGCGTTTCCACAATTTATTTTTTAGGATTTAGAAGAATTCGTTAGAGGAGCAGGAGATGCCGGTTTTATATATTTTAGCATGGGCTCTTCAGTTAAAGCTGCCAATATGCCTGTATATCTTAGACAGTTACTATTTGCTGTTTTTAAAAGTCTACCTCAGAGGGTATTATGGAAATATGAATCTGAAAACATTTTGGAAGATTTACCTAGTAACGTAAAATTAGGCAAATGGCTACCACAACAAGACATCTTAGGTAAATATATGCTTACAAATCTCTTGTATGTAAATTCATATATATATATATATATATATATATATATATATATATATATATATATATATATATATATTAACCTAAAGCTAAGATTAATACTATTATAAGAATTAATATTCAACTCAACATGCTTTTTCGATTGAATCGAGTCGATTATCACTTTCGACATCGTCTCTACTGTCTTCTTCAGAGCTTTTGAGAACCTCAGTCTCCCGGGCCCCCAGATACTACTACACTGATCACCAATCAATGCATTACTGCTACTGGGAACAACGGAATGTTCATTTATACCATCAATGGTGACGTGGTTTAAGTGTAGGTTGGCGTGTGGGATAGCGCGAATATTTCTGACTGCGAGATTTTGATTGAAGGGTGGAGCGGACGATATTTTCTTTATGAGAAATGGTAGGGCTAAATCATTTTCTACCTCCATCGTGATTTTAATACTAGAATGTATACCATTCAGATGGGTTTGAAAACACACCAAAGCATCCTTGCCGTGGGACCAAATGACGAATGTATTGTCCATATATCGTAGGCAACATGTGGGTTTGATGTGGTGTAAAGATATTGGCAATTACTGGAGGTAGTGAGGAGACCATTGGGGCACAATTTATTTGTATGTAGCATTGATTTTGGAAGATAAATGTTAAACATACAATTTTTAATGAGAGATAAGTGGTCTTGCTGGTGTAAAGAGTGAAACGATATCGAAACTTAATAGAATGTCTGAGGTGAGATGGTGAGATAGAGTATGGTTTAAGAAGTTCGATAAGTGATATGAAAATAATTTTTGACGAAGGATGAAGCATTTTCAGCCAGAGGTTGTAGAGTTTTGGCGAAGTACTTGGCCAATGGTTGTTTAGGGCAGTTAAATGCACTGACCATGGGACGTAGAGGAATATCGTGTTTTTAAATGTTAGGTGGACCATATCTTTGAGATGTTCTGGAAGACTTTTCACGAAAAATTAGAAATTGGTGATGTCTTTTCTAATTATTTTAGCATCTTCTCACCTACACAGCCATTGGCCAAGTACTTGACCAAAACTCTACAAGCTGTCGCCGAAAATGCTTTATCCTTTGTCAAAAATTCTGTTTATTTTATACTTCTTCTTACTTCTTAAACAATACCCTATCTCACCATCAGACATTATAATAAGTTTCGATATGGTGTCACTCTTTACAAACATTTCTATAGACGAAATTCTAAACATTCTGAAAACTAAATACAGTATCCAGCAAGACCACTTTTTTCTCATTAAGCCTTATATGTCCAACACTTATTTCATTTTTCAAAATCAATTCTGCAGACAAATAAATGGTGTCCCAATGGGGACTCTACTATCTCCAGTAATTGCTAATATTTTTATGAAACTTCGACACCCGAGCACTATCCACATCAATGCTCACATCCTCATAATATATTGATGACACATTCGTCATTTGCTTTGATGTCTTTTCAAACCCTTCTGAATGGTATACATCCTAGTATCCAGTTCACGATGGAGGTGGAAACTAATTGATCCCTACCGTTTCTCGACGTCATTATAAAGAAAAACCAATTCCAAAGTTTTTAACACTCTGTTTATCGAAAACCAACTCATACCAATCGTTATTTGCATACCAACTATCATCATCCACCTTCACAAAATGAATTCAGTCATTAATAACCTTGTCTCCAGATCAATACGCCTTTGCTATGATGCAAGTAGACCCGCTGAGCTCTCTAATTCAAAACAAGCCCTGATCCAAAGCGGTTACCGGGAAAATCACGTCAATAGGAGCATCCATAGACATCAATCTCAACCCAAGAACTCAGACCCTCGTGACATGAAAGCTTTTTTTTCCTTACAGCAAAGGTGTCACTGACAAAATCGACGAAATTCTTAAATCAAGAGTGATAAAGAAAATATTTACGCCCCAACAAAAACTTTCATCTTTTGTTCGATCAATCAAGGACAACATTCCAAATAAACAACACGAAGTCTATGAAATTCGTTAGGAGACTGTCCCCGATCTTATGCCCAAACAAATCGTAGAATCCAAAATAGGATTTATGAACATTCCATTTCTGTTCGCAATTCCGATTTAAGTTCAGCTCAAGGTTAACACCATCTTCATATATTATTATGTAGGTTACAAAATTGATTTTTAAAACTCCAGAATCCAATTTTATAAACCAAGAATTATCCGAAAAGACACAGAAACTGAAAAACAGCCAAGTTGCCTCAATATAAAAAATGTCGGCATCCGGTTACATTCAACATGGCTCGACTTATAAAGAAAATATCGTCTCCTCAACCCTCCACTCAAAATCACGCCATCAGACATGTTCGAGCCAACCCACTTCACCATGGACGATATACGTGAACCGTCCCCTGCTCCCAGTAGCATTAGTAGACTTAGACCTCGGAGCCCTAAAGAAGACGTCAGAGAGGATGTCGAAGATCGGCGCTGTGATAATCGACGCGGTTCACCCTGGAAGCCTATTGAGTTTAATATTAATTCTTGTAATAGTATTAATCTTAGCTTTACTTTTAATTGTACTAACCTCGGAAATATAAATTTGAAGACTTTAAAAAGGTAGGCTTACACCAAATAAAAAACTATCACGCAAATCGAGCAGCTAACATAGCATCGAATATATAGAAAGTTCGCCAGTTTGATTATTAAATAAATCAAAATAGATAGGGAGAGATCCGTCTCCTCTCATGATGCTTAATATATGCACAAGGATAAATTAGAAGTACAAGACATAACGTAACAATGGAAGGAAAAATCTGTATCAACACTACTTAACTAGTGGTGGTAAAAGTGGTGATTTTTAAATCACGCCGTGATCAGTGACTATGATTTTTGAACGGTGATTTTAAATAGTCACTATGATCATCGTTCTTTTATGTACAGTAACAAGTAGTCAAAGTAATGATAAACTTAACATTATCACTAGAGTTAACTCTAGAATTACACTCATAAATGTTTTAAACGGCTAAGAATTTTTTTGTGAAAGAGAAAAATAGATTCAATACGTTTAATGTTTAATTTTAATTTTATTATATTAATAATAGAAATATCAGTAGATAGTAACATAAAATACCTATGGAAATATGTTTCGTAAATGACAACCTACTTACTGTTCATCCCAGAACCTTTTAATTTTCAAGCAGTTAGGCCACCGGTACTACTTACTTCACCGTTGTGAAATCACCAGATGTTAGTCACCGTTCCCTAAATCACGTTCACCGAGAATATCATAATATGTATTATATAAACACGTTTTGTGAGACGGTAAACCGTGAAATTTATATCTTAGGTTATCGAAGTTGGCAAGGAACGGTAGTTACCGGTGATTTTTAAAACACCGGTAGTGATAGCACGTCGCTAAGCATCAACAATAACTTCTGCTGCCAAGGTAGATGGCGTCTATTCATTATTTGAGTAAATGATGGGAAATTTTGGTAAAGAACCTACCTTTCTGTCTTCAAGTTTGTTTTTCACCTACCACTATGTGATGAGTCCCAGTATAGGAGAGTAGTAATAGTCTAATTGTAAATACAGGGTAAAGTCGACGAAAAACAAAAATTACGTATGGCAAAAGTTAATAAATGATTATTGGAACACTGTACCACAGAACAATTATTTAAAAAATATAGAAAAATTGGATAATGAAAGTGTAAATTAAGTGGAAGATCACGAATACACAAAGACGACTGGGTATTCTCTACATTCATATATAAAACAATTCATATAGTACAATAGAAGATACAGTGCGTTAAGTTTTTGATTAGGTATTGCACACTATACGGAGCGCTAAAATCGGCAACGTTGCAAATGTTCGTTCTCCGACCCGAAAATCTACACCGACAGAAAATCATTTATTTTAGTTTAGTAACTCACAACAACGTTAGGGATGTACTTCTCTGTCGTCCGATCTCATGTTTCATTACGTAAAGCCGATTTTAATAGTAGGAAATTCGATAAAAATGCACTGACCTAATCGGTGCATTGTTATCGATTTTTATTAATGTGAAAATTTTTTTGTGGTTGAATTAAAAATAAAAGCGTATTTCTTTAAAAAGAGAAAATAAAAAATATACTCTTATTGAAAATTAAAATATTATTCCTAATAAAATAAAAAATAATTCTTTATGACCTACAGAAATGGTTCAAATAGTTGATCTTCTACGGCTGAACAGTACCCCAATATGCCATAAAAACTGCGAACAGATGAAAGAGTTTCTGCTGTAACAGAATTGGAGACTTCTCTTATTCGATTTTTTAATTCATCCAAATTTTGAGCTCTAGCCTCAGGATGAGCGTAGATAATGCTTTTTAAATGTCCCCAAAAAAAGAAGTCCATGGGTGTAAGATCTGGAGATCGCGCAGGCCACTTAATATCGCCTGTTCCACTGATAACTCGATTCGGGAAAGTATTGTTTAAATACTCCCTAATAATTCGAGCGTTGTGAACTGAACAGCGGTCTTGATGAAACCAAACATTCTCCAGCTTTACATCAGGAAGATTGAGAATAGCGGGAAGAACATGATTCTATAACAAATCCAGGTATACTCTACTATTCAAGTTGCCCTCAATAAAAAATGGACCTATTATGTGGTCTCCTAAAATGCCAGTCCAGACGTTAACTTTTTGAGGACGTTGAGTTCGGTAAACAACACTTCTGTGCTGGTTTTCCCGCGCCCAATACCTCGTAATGGAAGGATTGTGTCTCCCTACTAACGAAACAGAAGATTCATCAGTGAATAAAATGTTTTTAATAAAATTTGGTTCACTATTAGCCTTCGTTATTGGAGTTTCACAAAACTCCATTCTTCGAAAGTAATCGTCTGGATAAAGCTGCTGCGTTTTCGAATATTTAAAATACTTGTAACCGTGCTTTTTCCATACTTTCGTTACAGTAACATTGCTAACATCTAACTCTCTAGCAACGCTTCTACTTGAACGTGTTGAATCTACCTCGATTGTTGCACAAATTTGTGTATCCCGGTATTCTCTTTCCTCAACTTTTTCTGGTAACACTTCTCGAGCGTGACATTTTCTGCAATTTTTGAGGCAATAACAACTCTCAAAATTTTTAACAATATTATAAATTGACTGTACACAAGGAATTGGTCTTCCCTTAAAAAACACAGAAAATAAATCTACACACTGTTGCGCAGAATTGCCACTATAAAACCATTTTATTATTTGAGCTTTTTCCGCGGCCATATAAACAGACATGTTTACAAAAATAAATTAAAACTCTACGCTGTTTAAAGCCCCTTAAAAAGCCCTTTAAACAACCACGGTATAATGACAATATGACAAATTTGCCCACGGGCGACGAGTCAACGAAGCAGATATGTAGTGCAAATCGACGACGCGCAGTGTTGCCATTTATAGAGTGTATACCTAATCCAAAACTTAACGCACTGTATTAAGATAAAGTCAGTGGTTATTATACTGTTATATCAAGAACACAAATTGATGAGTAAATCAAACAATTAACAAATATACAATTTTTTAGGTCATCCAAAACTTAAAGTCTTCGTCACACATGGGGGTCTCCTAAGTATGTTCGAGACGGTGTATCACGGAGTTCCAATAGTATCGATTCCAGTCTTTTGCGATCATGACTCAAATGCCGCTAAAGCTGAAATCGATGGATATGCTCTGAAACTTGACTTTTCAACTCTGACAGCAGAAAAACTACTATGGGCCATCCGGCAAGTTATATACAATTCGAAATATAAGGAAGAAGTAAAGAAGAGACAATATTTACTAAGGGATCAGCCAGAAACTCCGTTACAAAAAGCTGTGTATTGGACAGAATATGTGATAAGGCATGATGGAGCTAAGCATCTCCAATCGCCTGCTCGTAATTTAGGATTTATAGAATATTATTTAATAGATGTAGCTTTTGTGATTATTTTTGGAGCATTTTGTTTATATACCATGTTGATATTTACTTTGAAATTGTTTTTAAAATATTTTTTAAGTAGTTCTGTAAATTCTGTGAAAAAAAATATTAAAGTAGACTGACACATTTAATTTGGTTGTTAATAAATTTATGGATTACCTCCCTTTTTGTTATTTACTTATAATTTTGATTTGTAATTCTTTGATATTAAAAAAAATATGTGTGTGTATAGTCTACAGCGGACTACGTTGGACATAGGCCTCCTCAGTATCTTCTAATGTTCTCTAGACTGGGCCTCTTGGAGCTAGTTTCCCGCTAGTCTTTTCACCTCTACATCTAATCGACGGTCGTCCTTGGCTTATTTTATAGTTTCTGGGCCACTATTTTATGATTCGTCTTGTCAACCGTCGATCTTGTGTTCTTGCTAAGTGCCGTGCCCAATTCCATTTTATTTGGAGCTGTTTGCATCAGTGTTACAACTTTGCATCAAAAAAAGTTTGTATGGGTAAAATACTTTCGCTTGAGACACATGAGAATTGAACTTCTTAGAATAAGGCTTAGTTTGTCAAATGTTGCCCATATCTAGTCTCTTCAGTTCTGTATTTTATTTGTTTAATTGCCTTTGCCTAGTTCGACTTCGTGTGTCCCAGATACTTGTAAGTGTTTGTTTGTTGTACCTTATTAATATCAATAGTTTTTCCCCTCATTAGCGTTCTCGTGTTTCTGATTAGTGACGTATAACTAACTGTAACCCATTCGGCTTTGTTTTAGTGCTTTCAGTACTGTTTCAAATTCTATAGAATCAAATTCTATTATAATCAATAAAAATAAGGACCAGTGGTATGTTGTACTCGATGCATTTGTCAATTAATACCTTTATGGTATAATCATTTGTGTTATATTCTGCGCTGAAGCCTGCTTGTTCGTTAAACTGAGAGAAATAAGGTTTAGGTACTAGTCTCTTCGTTAAGATTTTCAGAAAAAGTTTGTATATGTGTCTTTGTGTATATGTATCTTTTTTGTGTATCTTTTATATATTATTATTATCACTGCATTGTTCCAGTATTTTGGAATGGTACCCTCATGTAAGTATTTATTAAACAGTTCACTTACTGATTCTAATAAGATTTATCCTACTGCTTTGATTGACTTAGGCGACCATCATCACCAGACGACTGATTATTCTTCATTTCCTTCAAAGTTGCTCTTTCACACTGCCTCTGACACTGTAATAGGTAAAAGTATTTCGGATCCACGATTCGTGAAAGTCCTTACTTGTATCAGGAAATTTCTTAATATTGTTCTGAAGCTATTTTCTTGTGGCATTGTAAATTAATTACTATTAAACTGGGAATAAGCACAATTAAAGATAAAAATACGTTTATTGACGTTTCAATTTCCACTTCGGAAATCGTTTTCAAAATACAAACAGTAAATTTACTGTTTGTATTTTGAAAACGATTTCCGAAGTGGAAATTGAAACGTCAATAAACGTATTTTTATCTTAATTGTGGCTTATTCCCAGTTTAATAGTAATTAGGAAATTTCTTATTATCTTTGGCCATAACACTCTCTAGTTATTTTAACAATATCCTGTTATTTAATAAATTAGCATTATGTCTTCTTTTGGTGTCATTTTTTTGCAAAATTTGAGTTGTGCGTTTTTAACTGAGTATGTTTATTAAATTATTGTGTTCGTCAATACTTAAAGGTTTCGAATAATTACTCTTACTTACTGTAGAGTTAGGCTATAGTTCTTTATGCTTTTGGTAGATTTAAAAAAGAGCAAATATGCTTATGGCAAATTATGCTTATGTCTTTGCTCTTTCGTTCTTAAGGTTTATCGTTACTCTGGCTCTTACTGGCCTATGATCGCTTCCTAGGGACAGTCTATTGAGTACAGTTACATAGTCAACTACTTCTTTTTGTCTGTTATTATATAATCATATTCACTTTTAGTTCTTCCGTCTGGACTAACCCACGGCCATTACCATTCCGTTTCTTCTTTAAAAAGGTGTTCATTGCATATAGTTTGTGCTGCAACACAAAGTTAGTCAGCATTTCGCCTCTTTTGTTTCTTATTCCGATTATCACTTCTTATTAGTACTTTTTCTTTTCGAGTTTGCCGTTAAATCCTCCCATTATCAGATTGTAATGGGGCGGTTCCTACTTTTTTTTGCTTTTTAGATTTTTTCATAGAAGGCTATAAGAAGTTTATCTTCATAAACGAGGTGGATGCATATACCTGGATTATATTCAAAGTAAATGCAGTCAACACTTTGCATATTTTTTTGTGTATTAATAGACCTATTCCTCCAGTTGTACATTCATTTTTCCTTTATAGTGGAATACTATACAATCATGATATAAGGAAACAAGGTATGCTCACTAGGTAGACTCGTTTTTGCACATCGCTGCGCCGACTAAAATCCACCATTTTTTCAATACGTCACATGGGTGACGTCTGCTTTGTTTACGTCCAGCTAAAGGTCGATTCAGACACATCAGTCACGTCTCGTCACAGTGATTGCCCCGAGCCGAACAATCCGTCATACAAAATATTCTTTATTACAAATATCGCAAAATATACAATTTATCGCTTCTGATTTAACCATCGTCGAAAGAAAAACTAAGAAAAAATAGGTAATTTTTCTTTTTAATGAATTCTGCTAGGAATTCTGGGTTTTTTATGATTTAATTAATTTGTAAATATGATTAACCTTCCTAATACCGGGTGGGGCGAATTCTCGCCCAGGTCTAATGTTTTTGACGGTTTAGGACATTGGTAGTTGATGTATTAAGAGCACAAAGAAGTAGTAAAACCCAAAATACCGCGAACAGGAAATTAAGTTTCGGATTTCGCGAAAATATATGTGGAGCAAGAATTCACCCCACGAGGTATCGAGTATTTTCACGTTCTACAAATCTGATTATATCAGTTTAGACGAAACTGTTGGAAAATGGTTAATGACTGTAATAATTACTTGCCATGATGGGCAGTCGCATTCTTTACAATTAAAGTAGTTGACTGTAATGTGTTTCCTTTATCTTTAAAATTCTATTCCTGCTATTATATAGTGGGAACTTTTATGGTTCCCCTATTAGCATATTTTTGGCTAGATTCTTCGAAGCATCACTTTCTAGTTGAATTAGCCCCAAGTACGTCTGATATCTGATAATTGCTAAAATTACCTGTTTATTTGGTGTTTCTAAATGTGACTATCTTCTGTCTTTGATTTTTAATTTGTTGAATCGGTGTTAACAAAGTATACAGACAATAACGGGTTAAAAAAATGGTAAGATTAATGGGATACACAGAATCTTTGTGTTTAAATTTGAACCAAACTACTGGAGCGAGAAGTCGCCCCACCTGGTACTGGTCGTTTTAAAATCCACCCTATATTAGGAAGGTTAACTAAAGAATATTTTAACGAGTACTTACCGTTGTAAATATTAAGCACGATTTGCTTTGCATCGTGTGTGAGATGAATATAACCAAAATATTTTTCAGGTTCAGACTCATCACTTCCTGAAATATTAGCAGGATGGTACAGGCCATCGTCACTAATCATTTGTATATTACTCATATTTATAGTTATTACACTGACTTCTGTTCTAAATATACGACAAAAGAAAAAAGAAGTTCTTTTCAAATAAACTTTCTTTTCACAAAAGCTCAAGAAATTTTCTAATCTCTTATAAACGCTGGCTTTACGTACCTAGAAATTTGTAATTCTGAATTTTAAGTACAAATGCAATTAACTGATTAAATTCAAATAGATACAGAAAATAATGCCAAAATTATGCTGGATTCTATACTTGCCTGTCGTTTATTCATGTTTTAAACATAAAACCATTAGATTTTAAAAACCTTCAAAAAGGAGTGTTATCACAGTTGGGATTATTTCTTTGTTACCTAATTCACTCAAAAGTTTATTTAAAGTTGGTAAGTTATTCACTGAATACATATGATATATTGTTTCCCTTATAGCTGATAAATGAAAATTCTGAAATACTCGATGGGCACCAGAACGTCTTGTATAAGTTCGTACCTACATAGTGGATAGTGGCAGTTGTGTCAAAAAACCGTCTTTTTGATCGCTTCTCATTTAACGATCGCCGAAAGAAGACCTAAGAAAGATATGTTGTTTTACTTTTGCTTTTATCAAATTTTATCAAATTTTTACAAAATTCTGCTCGGAATTGTGTGTTTTTTATGAATTGATTAATCGGAAAATATGATTAACCTTCCTAATACCGGGTGGGGCGAATTCTCGCCCCAGGTGTAAGATTTTTGTTAATATCTGTAATTAAGTTTAATCAATCTCTTTGACGGTTTAGGACATTGGCAGTTGATGTATTAAGAGCACAAAGAAGTAGTAAAACACAAAATACCGCGAACAGACAATTAAATATTCTCGTCGGATTTTGCGGAAATGTATGTGAAGCTAGACTTCATCCCACGTGATATCGACTGTTTTCAAGTTGTACAAATCTGTTGAATGTATTGGTACTAATGACTGTATTAATTAAGGCCCATTCGCTCAACTCGGGCGCATTTTAACGAATTCATAGCTGAAAACCTACAATACACAGTATTAACAGCTGAAATAAACTTTTATTACAGACTTATTTCATTAAAAAAAGAAGAATTAGTATAAACAGTGAAAGTCTATAATAAACTTATTATATTTTGGGTAGTATATATTTAAAAATAGAATAGCAATAGAATATGCAGTCCATTTAAAACGATAAAGGGACTACTACAGGGTTGCTCCACATCCCCCACCCTGTTCAAAATATTCCTGGAAAAACCCTGAAACCATGGAAAAGAAAGTGCGAAGAAATGGGTATACCGGTAAGGAAAGAATATCTATATACGCTAAGTTTTGCTGACGACCAAATAGTGATCACACAAGACGAGGATGACCTGAGTTTTATGATGAGAAAACTGGAGCAGGAATATACAAAGAATGGGATGGAAATAAAATTAAAGAAAACTGAATACCTAACAACGGAGAATACAAAAAATAAAACAGCTAGAAATAGACGAAGGTAAACAAATCAAAGGAACAGACAAGTATAAGTATTTAGGTTTCATAATATCAAACAAAGGAACAACGGAGGAAGATATAAAAAATAGACTAGGACAAACAAGA